CAAAAAAAAGATAAATCAATAAATCTGTTTGTTGTTTTTTTCTTGTAAGTAAAGGAAAGGGAAAATTAAAAACATTGTAAATATGTTTAGTCATTGTAGTGCAATGACTGCCTGTTTTTGCAAAAAGAGTTTCATGGCCGGTAAAAACACATTTTTGGCTGGTAAATGTTATCACGTCACCGGCCATTGTGTGGCAAAAAGTTAGTTTTAGGCCCTGGTCATGCAGTATCGGAAGGTCGGGACAGCTGGTTTGAAAAAATTCTGCGCTTCGCATGACCCTTGTGTTTGACTTTACATTGACTTGGTTGTGTGTGTGTGTACACCTATTTGAGATTCAGTAGAATAGTCTAGAATAACCTCAACACCAGACAGAAACTGAATGCACGTCACACCTCTGTTGCATTTTATCATGTTCTAGCTATTATAATCACACACTTGTATATTTTATATTATTGATCAATATGTGAATCCATTGACCGGACTACGCATGACACGAGTTGGCACAGATTAAAAACTTTTTCAAACCATCCTCTGCTCCGCAATGTTTCGTTAGATAGGCTGGAGAAACCGAGTTTGACCACCAGATGTCGCTAATGCGCACTGTGTTAAAAAGCTTTGAGTAATGAACCGTTTTTCGGCACAATTTGATGAAAGCCTCAAACGGTTCAGAAAGCCTTGGTTTCCCATTACTAGTATTTATATATTTTTTACCTCTGATTCACCGCAATGTCTGAACTGTCCTGAGTGCGTTCGCATCTTCTGCTTCAGCCGGCGCGTGACGCGTCTTCTTCTTCTTCTTGCTTTATGGCAGATCGCAGACTTATAAGTGCATTACCGCCACCTATCTCTGAAATGGACCATTTGAGAGATAGGTGGCAGTAATGCACTTATAAGTCTACGATCTGCCGTAAAGCAAGAAGAAGTAGACGCGTCAAGCAGGATTTATACTTTCGCCTAGCTCCGCTTTGTGAACCTCCGCTGACTGCGCGCGCACCTTCCCAAACGGACGAGGCTTATACTTGTCGTGTTCGCCGTTGTACTATTCTTTGAAATGACAGGGGGCGACGAGGAGTAATTGTCCTCTAAAACCATCGGGAATCACAGGTGAGAAGAAGTCATTTGCCGGTACAAGACTTCTCGCGTGATGAATGAGTTCTTGAATTAATCATTTCTTTATGTACAAACTTAAAACAATCTTAAACTATTGGCTTTATTTCGCATCAAACACAAGACAACTTTAAGCAAATAGTGTATAAATAGTATCTAAATGAATTCTAATTCTATATGTATACAATAAAAATAAGAAGTACTTTAAATAAAAAGCCTTGGACAAACTACGCAAAAAATCTATGCATTGTTTTCCGTCAAAGCGTCAAAAAGCACCTGATGGAGTTTGAACTTCACATCAAACTGCTTCAGTTTCACACAAATGCCGGCACAGACATGCATGTTCGGCTAGAATCGCCCTGAACTCGTGCATCTTCGGATGCGGAGCTGCGCTGAAAGTTACAAAAATGGCGTGCACACCGCCACGCGAAATGAGTTAGCGCACACTCAAAGCGAACTTCCGCCAACACCGCGATGACGTCATATTTGCCACGCGCACCCAAGCGAACTTGCGGACGCGTCGAGTATAAATCAGCCTTCACGCACCGGCTGAAGAAGAAGACGCGAATGCGCTCAGGACAGTTCAGACATTGCGGTGAATCGGAGGTAAAAAAAACGATATAAATATTGTTCAGTTTCTTGCACAGACCGATCGTTTCGTGTCTTTACACATCAATGTATCATCACGAGCCGCAGGGTTTAATTTGGTTTTGTTTGTGTATGTTTTTTTGACTCTCAAAGCCGTGATTCCCATTCACTTACATTATATGACTGATAGACTGCAACGGTTTGAGTTAAAAATCTTTGTTTGTGTTCTACTGAAGAAACAAAGTCACCTACATCTTGGATGCCCTGGGGGTAAGCAGATAACCATCAACTTTTCATTTTTGGGTGAACTATCCCTTTAATGCTGCTTCTCTAGAACAAGACCATCTTAGACCTATTAAAGAGGATGAGGAAGGACAACATCTTGCTATTTAAGGCAAGACTATGGGCTATTTTGCTTCCATATCATGTCTTCTTTTAGATTAGTGGAAAGAAAACATCCAAAATACACATTAAACTTTGTTTTATTGTACTTTATTGTAGATTTCAATCTCAACACATATCTTTAAAAGTTTGTTTCTCTACTTCAGCCGCACTTACATATACCAAATGTAACAGTTTTATTCCTGTCTATATTCTGAAGGTTTTGCTGATGGGTTTGTTCATATATCATTCCTTGTTTTTATTATTGCACTGTATATATTTGCTAATGTAGATTTCAGTCCGATTTCTTATGAGTTTTTATCTCTACTTCAGCAACACTTACACTGAACTTTATTTCTCTCTATATTCTGAAGGTTTTTACTGAGGGATTTGTTCATATATCATTCACACTGATTTATATAACACTTTATTCCAAATAACATGGTAAAAATGCATTTCTTTATAGACTGAGTTTGTTTCTCTACTTCAGCAGCACTTAAATACACCAAACTTTACAGTTTTATTCCTATCTATATTTTGAAGGCTTTTACTGAAAGGGTTGTTCATATATAATTCATACTGATTATATAACAATTGATTCCTAAAAACGTGGTGAAAATGTATTTTTTTCTGTCTGTTTACAGTATTATCTGATTTATGGAGTGATAAAAAGAAAAACCCCAAATTCCCTCTGTAAAAACCTTTAACTCTTAACATGACAACAAAATCAAACAAGAATGTTGAACATGGTTTTATCCAGTTTTAAGATAAATATATGCAAATTTGTGCACCTTTGACTAGATAACGCCCCATTTGGATATTTAACCTGTAAAACATTTTACTTGCCTTAAATAATGACTTTTTTGAGGTTAAAAAAACCTTAAAATAATAAACTTCATGCCAAAATGACAACTTCATGACAATTTTGTTCAACAGCCAGATTTTTACACTTTTTTCATTAAATAAACTAGACACAGTAACAGTAATTATTGAAAATACGGTTTCATGTGAAGTTTCACTGGCTCAGACACATTTACTGTCACTCATGTGCTCCACCAAACATCAGCAGATGATTGAGAGCCAATAACACTGGTAGACTGTTTATTTATTTGCTTATTAGTGTGTGTGTGTGTGTGTGTGTGTGTGTGTGAGAGAGAGAGAGAGAGAGATAGAGAGAAAAAGAGAGATAGGGCTCAGGTTATAATCCCTAAACCTTCACTGACCGCAATCCTGATATGGCTAAATGACTGGCCTTCCCTCATAATCCCAGATGAGGGGCAGGTAACACACACCTGAGGCCCTCATACCTTCACACACACAAAAATCTGAAGAGAGGGACAGGGAAGCTATGGAGAAACAGACAGTCCTGATCCCACTGACAGAACCTTCAGTAAAGGTTTGGGAGGTTCATCAGGAGGATCCGTGAGTGTGTTTCTGCAGAGAGACACATTAGTGACTCATGGTTTATCTGGAGTGAGTGTGTGTCCTTTAGAGCGGTCACTGGAAAGAACAAATGCTCCAATCAGGTTACAGCACTTCACCTGTCCTCCTGCAGCTCCAAAAACTCACATTTCACACATTTAGTTATTTTTATAGTGCTTTATACAATACAGATAGTTTCAAAGCAGCTTCACAGAAATAAAAAGCAAATAACAGTGTAGCAAAATTAATCAACTAAGAATGGCACTGTGCTGCGGAGAGGACGAGGAGGAGCAGCCGCGCGACCAGCTGACCGTCGCTCCCACAGACTTCCAGAAAATGTTCCAGGATTCGGCCACCATGACCTCTGGAAACAACATGCTCTGCGTACTGGACATGGACAATCAGATCGAGTTTGACATTTTGCAGACTGCCATACCACTCGACCCCATGACGTATAAGAGTGAATCCGAGATATGACATTCCCACAAGTACATGCATTTAAATACATATATTTATATATAAATGTATAGTTATATAAATATTTAAGTAAATTATTCAAATGTATTATACTGAGGTTATAAAAGTAATTTATATAAATAAATAAATACATGTAATATAATGTATTAATTTATATAAATGTGTTACGCAAATATATAATAATTTACTTAAATATATATGTAGAAAGTTATGTTTATAAATATTTAAATACATTTATAAAAATACATGTTATTTATATATAAATGTACACTGATCTATTTTGCAGCTCCAAAAACTCACATTTCACACATTTAGTTATTTTTATAGTGCTTTATACAATACAGATAGTTTCAAAGCAGCTTCACAGAAATAAAAAGCAAATAACAGTGTAGCAAAATTAATCAACTAAGAAACAAATTCAAATTCTGCTGTAAAGCAGCTCTACAGAAAACAGTGTCATTATTCAGAGCAATTCATTTCAAAGCTCATTCAATTCAGTTCACGATTATTAGCTATCTATAACTATTCAAGACAATTTATCAAGTTAATTGATGTATACCTGAATACCTGAAATAGAATAAAATAAAATATACCTGAATTCAAAATAACTTTATTAGTAAAAAAAACACCTAAAACTACAACTGAAATAAACAAAATAGTAATATTTAAAAATAAAAACAAAATCATGTGAAATTAATAAAAATTGAACTAAAATTAAAACAAAAACCTGAAAATCTAGAAATAAAAGCCGATTCAAAATATAAATAAATATATATTAGTTATTTTATAAATAAAAATAAAACTGTAAAACAAATGCATTATTATAAATAGTAATATTAAAGAAAAGATACAAGCGCATGAAATTACAAAAAATCTAACTGAAATTAAAATGAAAACTGAAAATATATAAATAAAAGCTAATGCACAATATTAAAACAAACAGGAAAAAAAATAGTAAAATAAAATAAAAATAAAAACTGAAAAAAGGTGAATTCAAAAGATAAATAACTTTAAGTATTCAGCTCAATGTTCATTCAATTCAGGTTAAAAAAAATCTCTCTGAAGATCCGTTTTCTGACCACAAACTCTTCTGTTGTCCTTCTCAGGTACAGCATCGTGTCTCCTGATGAGGAGGGTCTGAAGTTCTCCACCCTCGGCCTCCACAACGGCCACGGCTCAGGACGGCTTCACTCCCCCAGTGGAGAGGCGGGCCCAAGCACGGCATCGACGGTGATGAGGACCGGCTACAACGGGAAGATTTCCACGTCCGGCCGCGGCCAGCTGCGGAGCCGCTTCGTCAAGAAGAATGGCCAGTGCAATGTGGTCTTCACCAACATGGACGACAAGCCGCGGCGGTACCTGGCGGACATCTTCACGACGTGCGTGGACATCCGCTGGCGGTACCTGCTGATGATCTTCTGCTCCACCTTCTTGTTCTCCTGGCTCGTGTTTGGCTTGATCTTCTATAGCGTGTCTTTAGCGCACGGAGACTTCGATAAAGATCGCGAGAGCAGCAGAAAGCCGTGGAAACCGTGTTTGCTGCACGTTGAGGGTTTCGTCGGCGCGTTCCTGTTCTCAATCGAGACCCAAACTACGATTGGTTACGGCTGGCGCTGCGTGACCGAAGAGTGTCCCATAGCGATCGTAACTGTGGTGGTGCTATATATATATACACACATATGCATTTATATAAATAAATACATTTTAAATAAATAGTCATCTATAAATCCTAAATGCATTCATAAATATAATACATCCAAATAATTTACTTGTATAAATAAATATACTGAATATAATACATTTGTATATAAATAATACATGTATTTAAATAAACGTATATTCATTTACATAAATTGATTATATTTATATGATTAAATACATCTATTATTTATATATAAATAAATCGCCTTGCCTGCATTGGTTTTGTACTTTGCTCATCGCAGTCTTCCCAAAGGAGGAAGTGGGTGTGTTTGGCCTCAAGGAACACGTGACCCTAAAGGTTATGACCTCATGTCATGTCATATAAATGGTCATTGATGAGTCTTCCAGCAGAGATTAAACGCATCCTCAGTGGAGCTAGTGACAGAAAGTAAGACTAATGCCAAGAAGACTGAAACAAGTGAAGCACAAATAACGTCACCAAAGGAGTCGAGCTCAGGACGGACTGATGTTTCTCTCTGTTCATGTGTACAGTTACTGTAAATATGACATAAAAAAACTCAGATTCTGTTCACGTCTTCAGACAAAATGGAAAATGGATCCATGTGCTTCATTAATGTTGATTAACACAAAATACACAACAGTGCAATAAACTTACTGATGTGTGTGTGTGCAGGTCATGTGTAGATTAAACCACCAGAACTACCTTTAATAGTCTCCAAATTATAACTGTGAGTTCAACAAAAAAAGACTGGTTTTGATAACTTGAATACAAAAGTTAGTTTGTCAAATTCTATCATTTAAAGTTCTATTTGAGTAGATTTTTTTTCCAGCTCTTGTCATTTGTTTGAATGTTTGGAGGGATGGAAAGATGAACGCTGTGAATACTTATTTCCATCCTGGTGAAAGAATCTCAACGGTTCATCAAATATTTTTTATGAATTTATGTTCGAAGCAATGACAGCTTTCTAGTGTTAAAAATTTAACGTTTTTCATGATTAGGGAAATCATGATTTATTATTCTAAAAATATGCATCTGAAAACAATGGAAGCCCATTTATGCTACAGAATATTTTTTTTTAAAAGAAGGTAATTACTACTACTCACAATTCAGACGTTGTTTCTCACAGTCTTGAGGAAAAAATTAAAATTCAGACTTTTTTTGCTCTCACAAGTTTATATTTCGCAGTTCTGTGTTTCCACCACAGAATAAAAAAATAAAAAAGGTAACTGATTTTCTTAGACCTCCAACTGTTCTTAGAATTCTGAGTTTAAATCTCGCAGTTCAGAATTTAAAATCTCATAATTCAGACGTTTTTTTCTCGTGAGTCTTCGATTATAGCTCTAAATTCTGAGTTTGTCACAATTCAGACTTTAAAAAAAAAAAAAAAAAAGCGAGTTTTGGGTTTTTTTTGTGATTCTCACTGAATTGTGAGGCAAGTCACAATTACCTTTTTTTTATTTTTCATTCTGTGCTGGAAAGAGGCTTCCATACAATAATGCAATCTTAATCTAACCAGCTAAATGTGGGTGTTTTCTTGTTTTATTTGACATGTTAAGCGTGTTGCACATCATTATAATGTTGTCGTATGGTTTTGTGTTGGACTCGTCCAGCGTTTGAAAGGGAATGAGGTTTAATGCAGTCGAGCCGTTTGGCGATTGTGTGATATGTTGATGTGTGTCTGTGGAAAAAGTCATCCCGCTGGAACATATGGATTTGAACGTGGGCTACGACGAAGGTACAGACCGCCTCTTCCTGGTGTCGCCACTAGTAATCGTACACGAAATCGACGAGGACTCGCCGCTTTGGGGAATGAGTCGGGCAGATCTCGAATCGGACGATTTCGAGATCGTAGTGATCCTGGAGGGAATGGTGGAGGCGACAGCAATGACCACGCAAGCGCGTAGTTCGTACCTTTCCCGCGAGATCATATGGGGTCACCGCTTTGAGCCAGTCATCTTCGAGGACCGCGATCGCTACCAAGTCGATTACGCGCATTTCCACAAAACCTATGAGGTTCCCTCGACGCCCGCCTGCAGCGCTAAGGAGCTGAGCGAACGGACCGGGCGCCGCTCATCCGGGTCGTCCCGCTCCGTGACGCTACTCCCGCCGCACTCACCCAGCACCTTCTGCTACGAGAACGAGGTGGCGCTGTGCTGCGGAGAGGACGAGGACGAGCTGGAGGTCGCTCCCACAGACTTACAGAAGATGTTCCAGGATTCGGCCACAATGACCTCCGGAAACAACATGCTCTGCGTGTTAGACATGGACAACCAGATCGAGTTTGACATCCTGCAGACTGCATTACCACTCGACCCCATGACTTATAAGAACGAATCCGAGATATGACGTTCCCACAAGTACATGCGTTTATTTATACATAAATGTATAGTTATATCGATATTTAAGTTAATTATTTGAATGTATTCTACTTAAATAATACAATTAATTTATATAAATAAAAATAAATATAATAGAATGTATATATTTATATAAATGTATTATGTAAATATAATGCACTTGAATAATTTACTTAAATATAAATAAATGTAGTAATGTTTATAAATATTTGAATAAATTTATAAAAATACATGATTTTTTTTGTGATTCTCACTGAATTGTGAGGCAAGTCACAATTACCTTTTTTTTATTTTTCATTCTGTGCTGGAAAGAGGCTTCCATACAATAATGCAATCTTAATCTAACCAGCTAAATGTGGGTGTTTTCTTGTTTTATTTGACATGTTAAGCGTGTTGCACATCATTATAATGTTGTCGTATGGTTTTGTGTTGGACTCGTCCAGCGTTTGAAAGGGAATGAGGTTTAATGCAGTCGAGCCGTTTGGCGATTGTGTGATATGTTGATGTGTGTCTGTGGAAAAAGCACTTTCACTCTTGAATTGTACCGTGAATCCAGGACAGATGGACACGGTGATATAAGCTGATGTAGTGAGTTATAAATGCTCCAGTCTTTAATGTATAAACTAGAGATCAATAGCAATGTTAATTTTTTATGTTCATCAATGGTTTCCCCAGTCTATTCTCCGATTGTGCTCGTCTCAGGATGGTCCTGGGCGAATCTGATGTGTGTAAATATAAAGCTGCTGCATGATGGGAATCTTTTCTCAGCTGGTTTTACGCGTCTTCCCGTTTGAAAATCTTCCAGATGATGTTCTGATGGAGAAACTTTACTTGAAACAGTCGAAACTCCCGAAATGCACTTTATCTTGTTGTGTTGCACCTTCTAACGTGATACCGAAATAAATCTTTCTACTGCACTATTGTTGGATGTCTAAACCCATATTAAACACACGAGCAGTGACGTAAATCACAGACTAGCATAGCACTACATGACCTCTCATCGCTAACCACATGACCTCCGTGCTTCAGGAAATCATTTGACTAAAACTTGGTTCATGAAACAGACTGGTAGAAAAATGACTGAATACAACTGCACTGCTGTTCACTAAATTTAGAAGTTATTTACAAAGGACTGAACAATACAGATTTAGTCAGAACATCAGATAAACATTTCACACATCTGATGACAGCATGACTGATCACTTGCAAGTCTTTCATCTCACCGGCGGATGGAGCAATACACTAACATTTTACACACAAGCACACAAAACCAACACACCAGCGTCCTCCGCTGCTCACTGATGCTTTCCACAAATACACACCTACCTCAGAAATAAATAATACTTATAAAAAAACAATATTCGAGATATTTTAAAAGTCAACAGAATAAATGATAAAAAATATATTCGCACATTTTAAACTTTTACAGAGAAGAAAACATTATTTTAGTACCTTCTGAGGTTTACAGAAATACATATTTTAGCAGCTAAAAAAACGGATAGGTAATTCTGGAAGAAAACTACCAGTATATTTTCAGGTTTACGGACATTCCTTGAACCCTAAAACGCAACGCAATACAAAAACCCAAGTCCTTTATATAAACACGATATAAAAGCAAACAGAGACCGTTCTCAGAACTCTAGCTAACGTTCTGGCAAGGTTCTCTCAAGATTATGAACAAACGTTCTTCCGATAACGCTAATAGAACGTTCGTTCGAACTGACCTGGGCTTTAATAATGTTCTCAAAACATTAGTACAAAAAACATATCTGTAGGCCTACATTGTTCATGGATACGTTACATTTCTGAAATGTTTTAGTTGAACGTGGATATAACGAGTGTTTCTCTTTAAAATGTAACTACTTGTTTGAAAATTGTCCGAATATTCAGAACATTCAAAATAAGCATCCTTTTTTATATTGTTTTAAAAATGATAAAAATGGAATATTCATCGCATAACCAGGAAAAAAGTAGGTTGAGCATCTCAGACAGCGGCAGTAGAGGGAGACAGAGACAGAAACACATTCAGAATAAAAACCACAAGAACTGAGTCCAGTTACTGAAACACAGCCATTGTTAACTAGTCTTAAGAACTAGTCTGACCAGATAGCCAAGAGATAATCTTTCTTACTGCTCATTCTATTCTATTTTTTTTAAATAAACTGAATTAGAAAAAGGTTAAGACTAGTCTCAAAGAAAAAAAAATTATTAGATGACTAATTTGTAATACTAGTCTAATCAGGTTATGAGACCTGCCGCTGAACTTCTGCCCCTAACAGTGACCTTTGACCTCAAGGGTCAGAGTAAAAGTTCAAAGACAACAACTTTTCTTCATTTTTCTTTCTTTCTGGAATCAAAATGTTTCATTATACATGTGTTTTGTTGTGAATATTCTTTTAACTAGTCGTGCATCCTGTTTAAAACCCTTTTAACTAACAAAAGCCTGTTTCTCAATGATGTCAGACGAAGGAAGTGACATCGTCTGATGTTTTCTAGTGTTAGTTTGTCACTGACATCGCACAAAATATTGAAAAAAAAACATTTTAAGAATTGTCTGTACAAGTAATTTTAATTTAAATGATTAAACTAATGTAATAAATTGAGTTGAATCTCGTATAACCTATAAAAAAAATGTTGCTGGAATTGGTAAAATACATTTTGAAGAGCTAAATTAATGAAATAAAAACATATTATGAATATGACTTATTGATGACATAATTTTTTATATAAAATAGTATCTCTATGATACTAAAATAACACTGTATCAAGTAAATAATCAAGTATTACACTAAACAATTAACATATTATGAATATGACTTATTGATCACATAATTTTTTATATAAAATAGTATCTCTATGATACTAAAATAACACTGTATCAAGTAAATAATCAAGTATTACACTAAACAATTCTGATGAATATCTTTAATTATTATACTGTATTCCTCAAATTAATGTAAATATTAATTATAATTTAACTATTATATTTCAACGTCATTTTTAAGTTACACAAGATTCAACTTGAGCGAGTTTAATATAATCTAAGTTGAAATAACAGCATTATCGCAGAAGCATCGAGATACTAGTTCTTGTTAATATTTTGAATTAGATTTTATTTGTATATTTTCTACTTTTTAATGTTAATTTTAGCTAAAATTTTAGTAAATTTCCTGCTTTGTAATTTTTATTAGATTTTGTTATTTTTTAAATGTCTATACAGTTTTCACAGTTTTTTAGAACATCAGCTTAAACAAAATGAAAATAAAATAAATGTTATATATATATATATATATAATTTTATTTCAATTAACTTTTATTTTATATATAAAATATATTATTTATTATATTATTTGATTTATTGAGCAAAGCAGATTTCTGATCCACACTTTCATTGAAATACTCCTTAAACGACAACATGAACACATGATATTTTTGAGTGTCACGGACCCAAACCCATCGATTAACCTCTGCAGCTCGTCTGATGGAGGAGGTTCTGGGAGAGAGAGATGTTTGCGGATCCACGCCCGAGGCAGACAGACTCATTACTGAGAGAGAGAGAGAGAGAGAGACAGGCGTGATGAAACTGATAGTGCTGTATTGTGTGGGTCAGTAACAGAGGCTCATTGTCAGGATTTACTGCCCCCTGCACTGCTCATTATGAGCCGTTCCCCCTCACTCGCACACATCCCTCCATCCATTCTCACAAACCCTGCTTCCTGTCTCCTCTCTCTCTGGAAATACATAAACATGCAGCTTTACATCTGAAGATCTCCTCTCATTTTAGTACATTTTAAGTTTAATTTTACTAAATAAATGTTTATTTCATGAAAGTAAAAGCATTAATTAAAGTCCTGCTGAGTTTAAAAGTGGATCAGCAGCACCTCCTGCCTGCAAACACTGCAACTACAGCAAA